GTCGTCCGGGCTTTATCAGTTTTAATATTGGCCATTAGGCCAGAAGCAGCAGCTCCTGCCACTGCGACTGGGATTCTTCGCCAGCAGAGGAGCCATTGTCTCTGGACATTCTCAGGTAGCTCGTAACTCGCTCGGGTGCCATTACGCATACGCAGTGTGGTGCTTAAGCACGCTTCCTCGGCCATGTTTACGTTTCGTTTATTGTGCGTTTTACGACATCGTGTGCGCCATATAAACGGAACGGTGTGAGCCAGTTTATGCCCATTTATTGGCCGAGTAGCGAAACTAAAGACGGGGCGAAGTCGGAGCCAAAAACGGAGCTCGAAGGTGGGGTCCAAACTCCTCGGCCACTTTGTAGATGAATGAATAAATTAATGCTCATACATATGTGAATCACAACTTGCCCTCCTGACATTTTCACATTTCTTGATGCGTCTGCTTATGACGGGCAGGACGTGCAGAGGACATAAAAGGACACTTTCAAACGGAATTCTGTTCGCTTTTCACTTTGGGGGTTCTCCACCTAAGTTTTGCCCTAAAAATACTGACCATTTCTCGGACCATTTGAAGTAGGGTCTTCGGAGACTTAAGAAGGTCTAATGACGGCGCCAATGAATCAACTTTCTCTTATAGTTTGCCCTCCAGTTAACTGTTTTCTGCCACTCCGACGAAGCCATTAAAAAACGGCCACAAAAGGCGCCAATTTTGTGTCTGCCGAAAGCAAATGAAGCCTGAAAGACTGCAGGACAGAGCAAGCGAAGCGGCAAATTGTGTCCCGCGCTTCCAGTTGATAACCAGGACCACTTTGGAGTGGAAAGGAAATAAAACAAATTAATAATGGTGGGCAATAAAATATTTGATGCCGTCTCCCGTTGTTTTATGGCCCTCCCAGACTAATTTAACTATTGCCCAGCAGCCAGAGAAGCACCAAAATAACTCTTTTTATCTCCATCTGCCGATGTCTGCTGGCCACTTGCGAGGCAATGCCGACGTACTTGTATCGTTCCCCTTCGATATGGCGACTTGTACAGACACACTTTTCGTTTTTATTCGCGTGTGCTTGGAATTTTAATGAAAATATTTGAGTTTCTTGATGGGAATTTCAGCTTTTCAACTGCAAGCACATCGGTAAATAAACTGCACTGGGAGAACGGCTGTGGTGGTTTCTGTTTAATCTACCAAATGTGAAAAAGTATACGAATACAGTACCTTTTTGTATGTACTAATATCGGGTTAGAGTTAATTAATTTACCAACTCACATACTCTCTTCCTGGCCGCAGGTCTCCTATTGCTGTAATAAATTCCACTTAATAGCCGGCTGCCCATTCGAGATCGATTTTCATACGCGTGTGTAGCAGGTGGTGTAATTATTTTATCACGCATTTAATTAGTTGGTTAATGCCATTCCATGGGATTGGGTGAGCGAAGTGCCATAATGTGCATTCCGTGCGTGGCTCCCCGCCTGGCCCCTGGCCTTCGACCTTGAAGTGATGGCCACTGCGTATCGCATTCTACGGTCCTGCGACTTCGACCCGCAATTAAAAGCCTTTGCCAATCAAAGGCCCATTTACATGCATTTCGTGTGGCAGCGTCTGCTTTTATTTCCCTCTCTTTTCCGGCTCCACCTCCTCCCAGTCGGCCACCCACCCACTGAGCAGCCCGAGTAAGCCCCAGACGGGTGGGGCAGGGCGTTATGCGACTGCCAATCAACTTTTTCGATTGCCGGCGGCGTAACTTTTACGGCTTTTTATTGTTATTTTGTATTTTTATGGTTTTTTAACAGTAATAATTAATTTAATGCGCGCTTCGCTGTAGGTAAATCGGAGGCACAACGCTCCCCGATTCGTCAGACGTTGTTATTTCTACTGCTGTCTGCTTGTTGTTTGTTTTGCATCAGCGAGATGTGTAAGGCGGTGTTTTAGTACGTGTTTTCTGTGTTTTTCAGCGTCACTCGCTGAACTTTTAACCATCAAAATTCAGAGGGGTTAAGCTGGGTTGGGCTAAGCAGGATTTAAAATCAGAATAAGTTAAGCAGCAATGGCAGTGCTTTAGTTGATTATTCTGTGTGTATAAGGTCAGTTAGACAGTTTTAGAAACACGAACGCGACTGATGACTCACTGCGTCGACTCCACCACTGCCCCGTCAGAGATTGGCCCTGTCAATCGAAAGCCTTCGCCGATGGCTCCCCAGGGCCCTGGCCGTGGGCTTATTAGCACGCACTTAACCTTGGACCACGACTTGTCGGCCAAAATGGAGAGCTGGCCATAAATAATTGCAGCAAACAGTTGGTGGCGTCTGTGGATTTTCCTTGGCCGGTGAAATATTACATCAAATTACGCTGAAGCGCAGAAGGAGACAACTTGACACTTATAAATTGTGTCACATACTTCTTGGCGGTCTTCGAGTTCTTGGCGTCCAGCGGCAAAATTGATCATAACGATGTTGGGTTCCGAGGTCCATGAAAGTTCTCGTCCAAAAACTTTTAATACGAATCGATAAATCAGAGAACATTTAATGTAAATTGTAACTTCTTCTTCCTACTTTCTCCGTGCCCCAAGATGGCCCTTCGTAATCTGGTGTCAACTTGTTGAGTCGTAAATAAAAGGGACCCCATCAGAGAGACTCGACGCAGTCTCCAGTGATGAGTCCTTCTCCTTATCCGTGCACTGTGTTTTTGCCTCTGCGGCACTCAATTAGCCAGCAACATTGCGTCCGTTGCAGATGTCAGTCGCTTCAGCTGACAAATTGCATTTGTAACCGCTTGACTTGGTGCAAGGGTGCCAGCCCCTAGCCGAGCCGAAGATGGGGACGCTATTTTTCTTATTGATTGGTTTTAATTAGGAAAGCCATCAACCGCAAATTAGCCTTGCGATGGCTTCATTAATAAGTTTTTATAGCACTTTCTTCTCTTTACTTTACTTTTGTTTTTCTTTTCCACATCCACATGGACGGGAAACCGCTCACATAATACGATTTATTTGTTTTGAAAATGTTTTCTTGACTTTTCGCTCGCCCTAGCCTACCTTCCCTTCCCTTCCCTTCCCTTCTTCCACACAAGTTTCGATATTCATTGAAATGCGGCGTTGTTTCTGTTTTCACGCCTCGCCAAATAATTGCAAAAACTTTTCAAAACTTTTTCGGCGTCGGCGGTTATGGTCAGAAGAAGATGCCCCATTCTAGAAAGTTTGATTTTCGTTTTAAAAGAGCGCTAAGTTCGTTACACGAATGGCATTCGAAAATAGCTTTCTAATAGTCGCCCCACCTCCGCCAGACGCCTAATATACTGCCATAAAGTGTGTCCCTCCTAAGATAAACTTTGAATTTAATAAACTGAATATATCGAAGGCTTGGCATTATAATCCCATAATCCCCTGCTCGCAGTTGGCCCACACATTCCATATTTGCTTTAGTGCCCGGGTCTGTCAGCTAATTGTTACTTGGCCCAACTTCTGTAAGCCCCTCGAACGGCACTCGTATGCCACCACTGCCACTGCCACTGCCACTCCAGTCCAGGCTTAGGGTTAACTTTTCCCTTTTCCTAAACTTTTCGTCGGTAATTTCATTTAACTTAGCGAAGAGCAACCTCATCCTGCAGGTGGCTCCTCCATGGAAGTTACGACTGCTGCCGCGGCTGATGCCCTTCAAAGTTTGCGAGTTTATTTTTGCATAATTGCACTGAGACTAAATTAAATGCTCACGCACTGCGAGATCCTTCGGCATGAACTTTAAGCCGGGCCCAAACTTTTGCCAGCAGACTGTTGGCCACATGAATAAGTGGCTAATGCTGCGGCCAGACCAGTCTGTACATGCGTTTGGCGTCCACAGCCCTGGGCTAATGTGAGTGTGCGAATTCGTGGGTACTTGCAGCAACTGAAGCAATCAAAATTACAAGGTTGGTTTCACGCCAAGAACACGCCTACTTTGTTGCAAATGGCAGTCAGCGCCTTTCAGATACACATAGCATACTTTTCAGGGTGCTAGTCAAACATCGCATTCCGCTGTTATAGTTTTGCTCATGTTGAAATACAATACTTTACAAATTTCGTACACTTTCTTTTCATACACCGAAAAAGCTCAAAAGTCTGAGTATATTAGATGTTAGCGGAGCTATTGCTCTGACTGCGACTGTGGGTCTACGCGGAAAACCGATGGGCATATTAACCCATTTTCCTTGAATGGCTTTGTAGCTGTTTCGCCCGCTTTTTCCGCATTCGACCCAACATTGTGGCAAACTCGCTTACGTTTTGCACTTGATTTTGACTGCTTCTGACATTTATGCCCTCTCACTGGGCACCGCTCCGAACCAGATGCCTGGCCATCCACTTAATTTTCTTGTTAGATTTTATGGCTCTACTCCTATCGACTGGCCAGGCACTGAGAGAAAGGATCAGCGAATCCTTGATATAGTGATTTATTTAGTGCAATGAGCCTTTTGTGCTGTCATTCGTGCACGAAAAGCGGGCTGATTGACTGAAATTGGGCAACGGAATAAGGGAAACACACCCCTAGAAATGAAGTAAAGCCCTGTCCGAGAGATCTCTCACCTCAAAGTGATTCTTCTCGTGTCAACAGCCGCTCCAAGAGTCACGAGTCACGAACCGACAGACGCGAGCAACGAGGCACTCAATGCAGTTTATTTGCCTTGTTTATGTGGATGCATTTTATGCTTTCACATCGGAAATATTGCTTTTATGGCTCGTTGCTAGTGCAAATAAAACAGAATTGTCGGCATGAGACTAGACCAGACAGGAGAAGGACAGCTCGGCGATGGGGATGCGGAGTTAGCAATCAGTGCAATCACGTCCACAACCTCTAGTTATATGGAAGCAAGCGCTCACTTCACCTTTGCACTCACCTGCCAGGCAAATCAGTGAGCTTGCTGCAGAAATGGGAATTACAAATTCCATTCGAATGATTATTTATAAAATGCCAATTGAACTATTTAATCCCAGGTCTGTGCTTGCCCGTCTTAACTGAATTCTGTTCCTTGCCTTCCAGGTGGTTCCGACAGCAACAAGGGAAAGAGCAAAAAATGGCGCAAAATATTGCAGTTCCCACACATATCGCAATGCATAAACCTGAAAGACAAATTAGGTAAGAGTTCTGGGTGTGCCAAGTGCGTACTTTGTGCTTATTTTCCTTGTTTCCGCAGACATAAGCTATGGCTACGTGATAGATCAGCAACCCATTGGTCGTGAGCTGTTCCGCCTGTTTTGCGAGAGCAAGCGGCCCGTCTACTTTCGCTACATCACCTTCCTGGATGAGGTGGTCAAGTAAGTGTTCGAATAGGCGCTCTGAGGCCTTAGGCTAACTCCTGGTTTCCCGCTTTCCACTACACAGATACGAGATCGAGTACATCTCGAACCGCATTTTCATTGGCCATGACATCGGGCGTCGCTTCTTGGATGTCGAGGCGCAGCTGGAGCTCCGCAACGGCAGCGGTGGCGACGCCTTGGACGCCGAGACGCAGGAGGAGCTGCTGCTCAACAGCAGCAATGCCAATCCAACTGAAACAGCTGAGACTGAACACTGCAACAATACCACCGCCAACAACTGCAACAACATCAACAACAGCAACAACTCGCAGCACAGCAGCGACATCAATCACAAGAAGCTCGACACGCGCAATCACAACGGCGATGATGCCACTGGGAACGGGAGCCACCAGGACGACGGCGAGGAAGGCGTCAAGGGCCTGGATAGCCACGACGATGCGGAAAAGGGCGGTGGCGGAGAAGGAGGCGGCGGAAAGAGTGCCCATGTAGGGGGCTATCCCGACGAACTCGTGCTGGACGTGCTCAACGATGATCTCATTGCGCAAGTGCGTAACAAACTCAACAGCGGCGGCAAGGACATCTTTGCCCAGTGTGTGAATGCGGTTAAGGCGTTCCTGGCCGGCGAGCCGTTCCGAGAGTTTGAGAGCTCTATGTATTTTCACCGGTACGTCTTATGGCTCTATTAAGTTCTGTAGATTTGCCCATTGCTAGCATAAATGGATATCATTTACATTCTACCCATTCGGATGGAAATTCAGAGAATAGCTTTTAATATATTTCCGTGTTTCCTTTTCCCCGACCAGATACTTGCAATGGAAGTGGCTGGAGGCACAGCCAATCACCTATAAAACGTTTCGCATGTACCGTGTGCTCGGAAAGGGCGGCTTCGGCGAGGTGTGTGCTTGTCAGGTAAGCCAGGAAAATCGCCACATGTGGCCACCTGACCTCGTTTTCACACCCCGGTTTTCTCTTCACAGGTGCGGGCCACTGGAAAAATGTACGCGTGCAAAAAGCTGGAGAAAAAGCGCATCAAGAAGCGCAAGGGCGAGTCGATGGTGTTAATCGAGAAGCAGATACTGCAGAAAATCAACTCGCCGTTCGTGGTCAATCTGGCCTACGCGTACGAGACAAAGGACGCCCTCTGCCTGGTGTTGACCATAATGAATGGTGGGTGTTATCCTGTTACTCTGTTACTCGTTACACTGTAGCTGAATGTGGGCCAATACAGCTGCCGATGTCCAGCCAGTTAGGGTTAATTAAGTGCTGCGACTCTTTATCGGTTAATCCCGTTAGTTTTCCCATTCGGTGGGCATCCTGTAGCCAGAGTCCTTCGCTGCCAATTATCCGATAGTCCGGCATTTGCATGCATTCATTAAAACGATAACAAATGCATGTGTAATGCCAGCGATGATTGAGTTTGCAATTTTAATTAAATTCCTGCCATTCGAACTGCTGGCACAATGCCGAAGTCATCCTGCCAGCTGTCCGTCCGTCAATCTACGACCTAATTGAATTTGAACACAAAAGCCAGAGCAACTCAGTCAACCAATAAGGCTCCCAGCTCCCAGGACCTGTCATTGTTTGAGGAAGACAATCAATGTCCTCTTCTTTTGCAGGCGGCGATTTGAAATTCCACATTTACAACATGGGCGGCGAGCCCGGGTTCGAACTGGAGCGTGCCCGCTTCTATGCCGCCGAGGTGGCCTGCGGACTGCAGCATCTGCACAAGCAGGGCATCGTCTACCGGGACTGCAAGCCGGAGAACATCCTCCTCGACGATCACGGCCATGTACGCATTTCCGACCTGGGACTAGCCGTCGAGATACCGGAGGGCGAGATGGTGCGCGGCCGGGTGGGCACAGTGGGTAAGTAGTCGTTAAGCTGATTGAACTGTATGCCTGAAGCTAAGCTACTCTATTTCCTTCCTCTGCTATTAGGCTACATGGCCCCCGAGGTCATCGACAACGAGAAGTACGCCTTCTCCCCCGACTGGTTCAGCTTCGGCTGCCTGCTGTACGAGATGATCGAAGGTCAGGCTCCGTTCCGGATGCGCAAGGAGAAGGTCAAGCGCGAGGAGGTGGACAGGCGCGTTAAGGTTGATAGCAATATATATAATATTATACGGATTAAGGCTAATACCGTCTTACCCTCACAGGAGGATCCCGAAAAGTATTCAAGCAAGTTTAATGATGAAGCCAAATCAATGTGCCAACAGCTGTTAGCTAAATCGATAAAGCAGCGCCTGGGCTGCCGCAATGGACGTATGGGCGGGCAGGATGTGATGGCCCACCCGTTTTTCCACTCCACCCAGCTCAATTGGCGTCGCCTGGAGGCTGGCATGCTGGAGCCACCCTTTGTGCCAGACGTGAGTTGACTCATTTGCATACATGGCTTTCTGATATTGGAAATGCCTTTCTGAAACGCCGACTTTAATCGCTTTTCCATCATCCGCAGCCGCACGCTGTTTACGCCAAAGATGTGCTCGATATTGAACAGTTCTCGACGGTTAAGGGCGTCAATATCGACGAATCCGACACGAATTTCTATACGAAATTCAACACGGGCTCCGTGTCCATTTCCTGGCAAAGTGAAATGATGGAGACCGAATGCTTTCGGGAGCTGAATGTGTTCGGTCCCGAAGAGTGTCCCACGCCAGACTTGCAGATCAATGCAACGCCCGAACCAGACAAGGCGGGCTGTTTCCCCTTTCGCCGGAAGGTAAGTCGACTTGTTGGGTTACTCCCAGGCTCTTCTAATCACGGGATTTCTCTCACAGAAGAAGCAGCCGGCACGCACACAGCCCATACCCATTCCCGAGCATCTGTTAACCACTAGTCACAGCGTGTCCTCCACAACGGTCGAGAGCTGATAGCATAGATCAGTCGAGGATGCCTCTAAGCGGACGCCTGACGTAGACGTCGACACATAGCACAAATTGCGCACAGCTAGCCCGGACCGGAGAGGTTCGGCAGAAGCAGAAGCAGAAGCAGAAGAACATCAAAGCACAACCTAATTACAAAACCAAAACCGGAATCGGTTTCTCCCTCAGTTGACGCGCAAGAAGCATTTTTGAAATTGTATTTTTACATCAGATTTTCTAACGAAATTGCAAGCTGATTTCGACACACACATAAAATATAGCATACGAGAATATTTATAAATGTTTCCAAAAGACTCCACACTGAAACAAAACACACATATTAAGCACACTTTCTAGCGTTAATTAATGAGATCGTGGTAGCATGAATACCACTCACTATACCACTTTGAGAGCTAAGGCCGTCAGTTTGTCACAGCACCCAAGAATAATGTTACTTAAGTACGAGCGCTATTTAACTATCTAATCGATCATCTATGACATGTATCACCAGGAGCAGGAAGCAGCCGGATCAGCAGCACTATGTAGACAGCAGAGTAGAGGCTCCGCAGAGCCAGCAGAGTAATGTGTAATTTTTGTAAAGTAGTTCGTGCTCAACGGGACAGGGTTGGAAGATAGATGTTCTAGTTAGCATTTGTAAGTTAAGAAATGACATGAATACTCGAAAACTTGAATGCATTTTTAACAATACTTTACGCATGCTATATTGTAAATGCATAGATACAATACGAACCTAAAACATAAACAAATTGTACATTTTAAATCCTATGATTATTTATACGACTCCTAAGTTTTATTGCCGCACACTTTTGCTAAGCTTTCATACTGTTCTATGACATTTTCTGTTGCCTAAGTTTAAGTTGGCCCGAAGGTTCCCCTAGGAGGACATAATTACTGATATTCGTTTCTTCACGCAATAAAATGAACGGCAAGTTATGCTAACTGCTAACTGCTAACCAATGAAAATTCATTGATATATGGATGTCAGCTAGTGTAAGTTCTGTGTAAACGTAGCGTAGGCCTTTTGTAATTAGCAACAAAGAAAGAAACACAAAAAAGAAAAACATTTGGAGAATTTATTATGTTAATATGGAAATTTGATTACGATCATTAAACTTGTTGGCAGTTGAAAGTGCCAGCTGCAAGTCTTAGTTCCAATTCACTTGATTTAGGCACTACTAGTAAATTTTAAGGCATAGATTGAACAACTACTACCAGCACAACCAAGTCGCATTCAAAGCAGCAAACGCCATCAGCCCGAATCCAACCTAGCACTACAACTACATAAAGTAAACCAAACTGAGCAAGCGCCGAAATATTTATCTCTAGCAATTAAAGGCATATTTATAGAACATCGTAAATACCAGATATACATACATAAATAAATCTATTCTGTAAGCGAAATGATACAAAATACAAACGCAGAGTCAAGAGATGAACATTCAAAAACAATAAACGTATTTAACTACCACGTTGGCTTGCGTTTTCTATTCTTGTAAAATGTGAAAACATATGTAGAAGAGAATGTCGGAATATCGGAAAAGCAATTTCAAATATTTTTTCAAAAGAGTACTCACCGAAGCGCTGTTCTCTCTGCGGTGTCCAGAAGGTATATCATTCCACCTTATGGTCATGTATTCCTGGGATTGCCGAAAGGCGCACAAATTTTTTAAATCCCTGAAAGTATGCCATTGTTTTCTTAGTAAATGCTACTCCAGAAAAGTGTACGGTATTTAATTGTAAAACAATTCACCACAACCACTACAGCTAAGTTAAGAACTAACCAAGATCATATTTTAAACCACAGGGGCTTGCGCCGGCAGTTGAAGATTTTGGTTGTTTGGCGCACGCCTGTGTAATCAAGGAGGCACTCGGCTCCGTTGTTCTCGAAGGATATCTCGCCCAGCTTGTACTCGGGGTTGAGGGCCACTCGCAGGATGTAGCGTCTGTTGACGGGCACCCTGGTAACATCCACCCACTGGCAGTCCAGGACATCGGTGTAGGTATCAGCACAGCCGACAGAAATGCCTGCAAGAATATGGGTTTCGTGTAATCGGTGCAACTTCGAGCTAGCATAAGCTTACCTTGGGTGGTATTGCCGCAGGTGTACTTGGCCCGCACTCCTGCCGTGCAATCCGTGTCCATCAGGCAAAAGGAGGCCTTGTGACCCTGGGCCACCTTCCTATATTTTAAGTCGTAAACATCAAAGGTGGCAAAGACATTCATGCTGTGGTAGTGCCTGTGACATTGGTGCCACACCCAGTCCTTGTAGTTGGCATAAGGACTTACGTCCGCCGTGCCCACATTGGAGGCCTTCACGGAGAACCGTAGCAGAATCCTCGCCGCGTGTGGGTTTGTTCTTCGTATCTCATAGGCGTCGGCGGACACACAGTGTTCCTCCATGGCGCAGGTGAGCCTCGACATGGGCACTGCTTCCAGTCGAGCGGTCTTCTCGATTTCCGCCAGTCCGATCTCCAGGTCAGCAGAATGACTGACACAGGCCACCGTGCTGACATTGTGGTTCCTGGCATTGCAGAGGTTGGGATAGTGGGACTCCCGGATGCATTCGGACAGTCGGCGCTCTGTTCCGCGGCACAGAGTACCCACCATACCCCACGGGTGCTTCCGACTGTCTCCGTGTTCCGTACCCTGGCCTGCCTTTGAAGCATATCCCAAGCCGAGCTGCCGGCACACCACATTCGCCTCCCGCATGCTCCAGGAAGTGCTGCAAATGGTTCCCCAAGTGGCGCCAAAGTCGAAGCTCACCTCCACGCGACCCTCGCGAAGGACTTGAATCCCAGATAGGGTGGTCTTACTGGTGGCCAGTCGAACCATCATGTTTCTGTAGTTGTTCTGCACGTTTAAGCCACTGTTGGCCCAGCTTCGGCTCAGACCCACTGCGAGCAGCAAAAGCAATGCTAACGATGCCATAGCTAATCGAGCACCTTCTGAAGGAGCACTCCCAACTCCCAACCAGTTTTAAAGTCATCGGAAACAATGCCGCAATAGGTTAACAACTGGAGAATGGGGCTACATATGTAGGAGGTATATTGTGCGTTGTGCTTCCCAGCGGATCGACCCACATCTGCTCGGTAGGCGGGAACACATTTGTATACAAAACTCAGCTGGCAAAATGCCTATTCCGAGCGCGCGTGAGTGCTCTTGTTCTTTTTCTTTTTCTGTTTCGCGGTTTTTGTTTTTTGGGTATGGAGTGCATTCGTAAACAACAACTTCTGTGCGCCTGTTACGACTCAAGCAGCTTCGTGATGGCCTCTTTCAGTTCCGCCGGCTTGAACACACCGCGTTCCGTGATGATGCCGGTGATCAGTGATGCAGGTGTCACATCGAAAGCGGGGTTCCAGCAGTTAATGCCCGGCGCAGCAATCCGGTGCTCTCCCACGTGAGTCATTTCTCGGTCGGGCCGCTCCTCGATGATGATGTGATCGCCGCTGGGGATGGCCAGATCGATGGAGGTAAGCGGGGCAGCCACATAAAATGGCACGCCGTGGTGCTTGGCCACCACTGCAATCTGATAGGTGCCAATCTTGTTCGCCGTGTCGCCATTGGAAGCCACCTAGAGAAAAGGAAGTTTTATGTTGATTAAACAACAAAGTGGATAAACCGTAATTGAGATGTCTACTAACCCGATCTGCTCCCACCACAACGGCAGCCACATTCTTGGCGCGTAGGAGGGCAGCCACCATGCTGTCCAGAACCAAAGTGGCAGGGAATTTCTCATGGACCAGTTCATAGGCCGTGAGGCGTGCTCCTTGATTATAAGGCCGGGTCTCTGTGCAGTAAACGTGCTCTAGAATCAGGATGCGGTATCATTAGTAATCCGTAAGCCTGCATATCTGAGTACGGTGCTTACCCAACTTCCCCAACTCGGCCAGCTGGCGAACGACGCCCAAGGCTGTTCCGTATCCGGCGGTAGCCAGTGAACCGGTGTTGCAGTGGGTAAGCACTCGGACGGCACCCGAAGATGCTGCCGGAGCGCCACCAGCTTCCGCCACACGCTGCATAATCGCCTTGGCACCGTGTGCTCCAATCGCCCGATTGTCGGCAATGTCTTTCTCCAACATCGCCTCGGTGGCTTTCAGGAATCTGTAATGGAACTGCGTTGACCTTGGTTCGATTGCTAGTGCGAGTATATTGGTTACCTTTGCTTCATTTCGGAAACGGCGACAGTCTCGTCTTTGTCGAGTTCGTTGGCCAGTGTGATGAGCTCGTCGGCGGCTATTTTCATGTTGACTGCTGTGGGCCTGGCGGAGACGAGGTAGTTAAGCTTGCCCTCGATCTCCTGGCGCAGAGATTTCTTACTTCCAAACTCCTCCGGGTTGATTTCCACGGCGAGGGAGAGGCACCCCACGATGGCAATGGCGGGAGCACCACGAACCTATATGCAATAAGTATAATTATTGAAGAATTCAGCATCCAACATCATTTAGAGGTAATCAAATCAAGTGATACTTGGCTAAAACAGTTTAACTTATAAACTATAAATAGAAATACGACATCGTCACACATTTTCTTGATCGAAACACGAATTTGTTTGCCTTCAAATTAAGATGTAAAAGCCAAACATTTAGTCTTTCAGTTTGTCATGTTGTTGTCATGTCAGAGACGGGGAAATTGCTGCTATATTTTCATTAGGCACGGTTATAGGAACACGAGCGGAGAACAAGAGATTACGCTGGCTATCTTGGCTTATCAGGTGACGGTGCGAAAAGCAGAGTAAATGGTTTACACTGTAAATTTCCAAGGACTGCACGTGATAAGGCGCGTGCTCTTTACCTGAACTATCTGCCACTAATGGGCCATCATCCGGGGGCATTAGCCCAGTAAGAGCCAAACGCCGAGTGACGCGCGAGGAGTAGTTTTATTTTTGGCAAGCGTTTTTAAATTTTTAATTTCAATTACGTTATTTATAGCCGGGCAAGAGACAGACGACAAGCGACAACAGACAAGCGAGCGATCATTGCGCAGATTAAGAAATGTACCAATAAGAATTTTAATGGCATTAAGTGCCATTCCGCGGGGATGGGGGATATTAGCGATCCTGCCACTAGCCAATGGCCACTGGCCACTGGTTAGTGGCCCAGGGTCACGCATTCTTCACCGTCGCTTACCTGCATCTTGTTAATGACCTTCCAGCCATCTTCCACACCGCGGACCACCACGTATTTGGATTGGCCGGGCAAAAGGAGCTGGTCAAGGATCTCCAGGCTGCCCCGTGAGTACTTGATCGACTGCAGGCTCATCTTCCTATGGTTTTGTACTGTAACTGAAAGGAATGCCGTTTCCGATTAACAAATATGAAATAGTTACGAGGCAGGCAGGGACGGACAACCCACACTGTTGGCCACCAATGGAGCACAGCCCTCGAATCGCTGGCAATTTATCAGTTATTAATCGATGGCGATCGCCGGGCTTCGGTTCCGGAGCTTTCAACGCTTTCTGGCGACGATCGGCGAGCAACTGAGAAAGCCTCACGGTTTTGGGCGTCGGAAGAGGTTTCTTGCGACAGAGCGCCGCGAGCGAAAGTGGCGAGAACGGCGCCGGAAAAGCAGACGGTACACAGAGGAAATATGGGGAGACCCCTCAAGGCTTTTCCCCTAACCAACGTTTTAAGATATTTGAGAGTCTATCACAATAAATAAACAATTGGCTCAAGTTATAGGGGTATGAATAAATATAGGCATTGGTAATAATATTACTCTAGTTACATTAGCCAGAAGGAGCCAACAGTAGCCGTTGTTTTCTGCAGTGTACTTGGCAGCGCACGGCAGTGGAGGGGGGAGCCTCGGCCGCTACATCGACTATTAATTCAAGTTGACAACATCGCCTTCACTCTTTTCGTCTGCCGCCGCTTTCGCCCCAATTGATAAACACGTTGGCCCCTGACGTGTTTCTGATCGCTTGTTGACAAGTGTAACTCGGCTAGAGATTAATCGCGCTGCTTATCTGTCGGCCGGCTAGTTATTGGGCAATTTTGAGTGTGCCTTAATTAATGCGACTGCAATTAGTTGGGCCGCACCATGACAGCGACTTTTCCGTTGGTCCTGTGCCAATAAATCGGCAGATGGAATGCGCCGGGAGGGATTGGCTGGGCGGGGGGCAGGTCCATGATCACCATATGTCTTTAAGGCCTTTAAGGAAGCAACTGGTGGTTGCCGTAAGTTAACCTCACCCACCAGATAAACACCCTCAAGAAAGTGGGTTTAGCAATTTCCGGGACTCGGAAATCGGAATTCAGGGCTCACTGTTATCGCATCGGCCACGCGCACGTTTTATTACTTGATTTATTTTTAATTTTTGATTTACGAATGCGATTCCGATAAGTGTGGCCACCTTTTTTTCAACACGAAATGCCCATTCCCATTGGAGAATTTGGTTTGATTCGGAACAGAACATATAAACATTTTGTCGATCTTTCTTCTAAATGTTCACAATAAGTATTAAACTCATTAAACTTATTTAATCACTTTTATAATGTCAAACATTTTCCAGTATTTTTAGTTATTTTGGCACAAGAAACCGCCGCGCAGGGTTTAGCTGCAGCTACCGAACACCAGGTGGCGTGCAACGAGCGGCAAATTCAAATCTAGCAAGCGTTAGTTTTTTGAATATTTGAACTATTTCAGTTAAACATTTTTATAGCCGAGAATCAATCATGGGCAAAGTCAGGGGATCAGCTCTTTACCGCCTGGTGCCTTCGAAAACCCTCTTCATGCTGTGCGACGTGCAGGAAAAGTTCAAACCGGCGATACCGCTGCTGAATTGCCTCATCGAAAACACAGCCAAACTGGTAAGACAGCGAAAAGTGACAGGATAATGGGCGAGTTCTAATGGATTTGCATTCCAGCTGGCAGCCGGCAAGGTCTTCCAAGTGCCACTGCTGGTCACCGAGCAGTATCCCGAGAAGCTGGGCAAGACCGTTTCGGAGTTGAATATTGAACATGCCTGTGCCAATGTTTCAAAGACCAAGTTCTCCATGCTGGTGGAGCCTGTGCGTAAGAGCATGGCTGAAATTTTCGGGGACAAGCCCAAGACGGTGGTCCTATTTGGCCTGGAGGTGAGTGACGGATTGCCTAGGGCATTGGGTTAGTGAAGGTACTCCTCCTTCCCTCCCCTTAGACCCACGTTTGCGTGGAGCAGACGGCCTTTGACCTGGTTAATGAAGATATCGATGTCTGGTTGGTAGCCGACTGCTGTGCTTCGCGTCTCAATCAAGATCGGGACTTGGCTTTGGAGCGCCTGCGTCATATAGGCTGCAACATTTCCACTTCCGAGAGTGTGATATTCAATCTGCTGGGGGACAAGGAACACAAGTCCTTCAAAGAGATTGCTTCTCTAGTGAAAAAGGTATCGGCGGACATGCAGCTTTGGCGGCCCTCAAATAAGTGAACCAGTCGGCTCTTTTCATGTCTTTCATAGAGTAAACTATCCGTTCAGAATATGCAGAGTGTGTTCATGGGGGAATTATGAGAATTATGAGAGAAGGACCCACAGGTAGGGCAGGCTCCCTGTCCTCGTCAACTCATAAACATCTCGGCCAAGTAGACAGCTGAATGGAGCAGCGTTTGGCGCTGCCCCTTTTTGCTTAAGCGGCGCCTTATAAGAACCATCAAGAAACACATCTATGCCCCAGCGATAGAAACGGCAGCAGCTCCTGCTCCTCCTGCACAGCAGTGCTGCCAATTTATGCAATGACTTTAAGTTGGCTCTTGGACCTGGAATTGGCTGGCGGGGCAGTTAAATTTTATGATGCAATCGCGACAATCTCCAGCGCCCATCTAGCCATCTTCCATCGGCGCTGCAGGCAGCCAAGCCAGCGTTCCCGCCATCTAGCCATCCAACCATCCAGCGATCCAACGATCCAGCGATCCTATCCGAACCAAGTGATGGTGACAATGTAGGCAGGCGTCTGATTGACTCATAACAGGCCACGCAAACATCGCGATCTTGATCGCCATTTGCATGCCAAGGAGAGGATCTCCGCCGCCTCCGGCAGCTGGCAATTTATTTGCCCAGGCCCGTGTCTGCATCTCCATCTCCATCTCTGCATCTCTCCAAGCCTCTAAACCTCTAAAGAACTCCAAAGCACAACTGATGACGATGGCATCTTGGCACGCGATAAGTCAACAACTTATCCGAGTTCCTCAGTCAGATCTCTGATCTATCCAATTAGGCATGCCTCTCAGCTGTGGCTTTAATTCCGCCCAGTTCCTAAGCGGGAAAAGTGAATTGGGCTAACGGCATTGTGCGTAAGCCTTTCCCGCCCAGGGAATCCATAAATTTCTGGCCTTGGAACTGGTTTTATATTTTCAGTGCCAACCCAAGACTTGGCATATTAATAAATTTAGTTTTCCTTTTTCTGCCGCACGATGCAGAAAAAAGATGATAAATCTGTGAAATTGCCAGCGCGGTGTGCAAATGAACACGGCTCCATTTCCACTTCCACTTGCATCTCGCAAGACCGATCAGCGATCTGTGATCCTCGGCAACTGTAGATGTTGCTGCTGTGGAGAATCGATGAAAGATTGGGAATTTATGTGCTGGCGGCCGGGCAAGTGGCAACTGTGGACACGCTCATAGATCAAATCGAGCCGGAGAGCAACCAACCAGCAAACCTCTTAAACTGCAGTTTCTTTGGCCAAGCCATAAACAAACAGGAATTGGGCGAAAACCCAATCCCTAAAATTAAGAAATTTATCAAGCAAACGCCGGTCAGCAACTAAAGCTGAGAGTCGAGAGCCCACCGCCTCCTCCGTCACAAGTTAATCCCCGAGGAACCATTTATCCCATTTGAATGGGGCACTAAAACACGGTTGTCCGCTGGTTTGGCTGACTGGATGACTGGATGACTGGAAATTCCTGCAGCTCCGTTGACAAATGTGAGAATCCCAGGCGGCGCCTTCAAAGAACTTCGAGAGCAGCTCACCGACTGCATTGCCTGCAGTGTGTTCACTCAGATTGCATAATTTATGGAGCCGCCTGCCCAAATTAGCCAAAATCTTGCTGCTCCCCCATTAATGAGACATCTAATGAAGGATCGCTTGCATTTCCCACACTTTGTGTCGGGTGTTTCTCATGCCACAATTAGTGCAATCATTTCTTCATGCTAATTATTCGTTTGTTCTTCAAAATACCGCTCTCCCAAAAGGGGCGTGGCACCTGGCGGTCATAGGGAAAATTCTGTTTCGGTTTCCGCCTTCGGTTCGAAGACCCACGTCACCTGTTAACCCACAAAATGCATGTGGCCACTGACCAGCAATTAGCCGAATGAGATATGTATCTCCAGCCGCTAAGTGGCTGCGAGTACGTCTAATTAGCATATGGCCTACAATGTATCTGCATCTGTTTTCAGTTTCTGGGGGTGTTTCTGGGTGTGAGATGCCCAAGGCACACGTATTAATTAGGCCCAGTTATGATTGCCGGTCTGGCTGCTCTGGGAGCAGCGGCGATAATCGTCCGCTAACAAGAAGCCGGGAATCGGGAAATGCGTGTGGAAGAGCGTTTCCCCAATCAGAGACGCGGATGCCTTAAGCCATTACCAACACTCTGATTTTCAATTCCCGCGGATTCGTGATAACTCACTTATTTCGTCTGTTTGTAATTTGGGGCTCCTTTCCCAGAATTCCTACACTTATTGCACAACCGAAATTTTAAAGATGAAATTATTTCTAAGGAACAATTTCCAGAGTTCATGGTAGCTTAACCTAACGGGAGTTGTATAGTGTCAATGATCACAGAATGATAATTAAGAATTAATATCGTATTCAGATAGGCTTATCTTTCTTAGGTTCTTAAGTTTAATAGCGGTTATGATTCTGTGTTCGGATTTTAGCTCTAGCTCGGTCAAAACAAGTCGTACAGCCAAAAGAACAACTGTTTTGTGCCGCTAGCGACCACCACTTACCACCCCTATCACTCGATTTTCGATTTTGGGAAAAACAATTTTCGGCTAAATTTCGCATTTTTGATAAGGGGTACCATCATCAAAATTTTCGAAAAATGGCCGGAAATGAAGTTTTCCAGATTTGAATGAAACTCAATTGGGAATCATAGCAATCAAATTACAAGCCCTACGAGGTATTACTTTCCATATTTGGACCATTTTTGGCTGATTTTTTTTGCGCCCAAAGTCAAGTATACGTCGTTAGACAGCAGAGAGCCAGGTTTTGTTGCCGTTTGTTAGCTCTAATTTTGTCGCACGGCTAAAACGGTGACTGTTTTTTGCAGCTTACAACCAAAACTTTAAGCCCCTATACTTGCTTTAATCATTACTGTTCTGATTTTTTGGTGCGAGCTCTGATTTAATGGCTGAAAAATCAGGAAGCCTATTTTTAACAGAAATTTGCAATAGTGTGTTCGGTTTTTAGCTCTAGCTCGGTCAAAACAAGTCGTACAGCCAAAAGAACAACTGTTTTGTGCTGCTAGCGACCACCACTTACCACCCCTATCACTCGATTTTCGATTTTGGGAAAAACAATTTTCGGCTAAATTTCGCATTTTTGATAAGGGGTACCATCATCAAAATTTTCGAAAAATGGCCGAAAATGAAGTTTTCCAGATTTTAATGAAACTCGATTGGGAATCAAAGCAATCAAATTACAAGCCCTACGAGCTATTACAATCCATATTCTGACCATTTTTAGCTGTGCTATGGCTAAAAATCTGATTTTTTTTGCGCCCAACGTGAAGTATACGTCGTTCGACAGCAGAGAGCCAGGTTTTGTTGCCGTTTGTCAGCTCTAATTTTGTCGCACGGCTAAAACGGTGACTGTTTTATGCAGCAAACAACCAAAACTTTAAGCCCCTATACTTGCTTTAATCATTACTGTTCTGATTTTTAAGTGCGAGCTCTGATTTAATGGCTGAAAAATCAGGAAGCCTATTTTTAACAGAAATTTGCAATAGTGTGTTCGGTTTTTAGCTCTAGCTCGGTCAAAACAAGTCGTACAGCCAAAAGAACAACTGTTTTGTGCTGCTAGCGACCACCACTTACCACCCCTATCACTCGATTTTCGATTTTGGGAAAAACAATTTTCGGCTAAATTTCGCATTTTTGATAAGGGGTACCATCATCAAAATTTTCGAAAAATGGCCGAAAATGAAGTTTTCCAGATTTTAATGAAACTCGATTGGGAATCAAAGCAATCAAATTACAAGCCCTACGAGCTATTACAATCCATATTCTGACCATTTTTGGCTGTGCTATGGCTAAAAAACTGATTTTTTTTGCGCCCAACGTCAAGTATACGTCGTTCGACAGCAGAGAGCCAGGTTTTGTTGCCGTTTGTTAGCTCTAATTTTGTCGCACGGCTAAAACGGTGACTGTTTTTTGCAGCTTACAACCAAAACTTTAAGCCCCTATACTTGCTTTAATCATTACTGTTCTGATTTTTTGGTGCGAGCTCTGATTTAATGGCTGAAAAATCAGGAAGCCTATTTTTAACAGAAATTTGCAATAGTGTGTTCGGTTTTTAGCTCTAGCTCGGTCAAAACAAGTCGTACAGCCAAAAGAACAACTGTTTTGTGCTGCTAGCGACCACCACTTACCACCCCTATCACTCGATTTTCGATTTTGGGAAAAACAATTTTCGGCTAAATTTCGCATTTTTGATAAGGGGTACCATCATCAAAATTTTCGAAAAATGGCCGAAAATGAAGTTTTCCAGATTTTAATGAAACTCGATTGGGAATCAAAGCAATCAAATTACAAGCCCTACGAGCTATTACAATCCATATTCTGACCATTTTTGGCTGTGCTATGGCTAAAAAACTGATTTTTTTTGCGCCCAACGTCAAGTATACGTCGTTCGACAGCAGAGAGCCAGGTTTTGTTGCCGTTTGTTAGCTCTAATTTTGTCGCACGGCTAAAACGGTGACTGTTTTTTGCAGCTTACAACCAAAACTTTAAGCCCCTATACTTGCTTTAATCATTACTGTTCTGATTTTTTGGTGCGAGCTCTGATTTAATGGCTGAAAAATCAGGAAGCCTATTTTTAACAGAAATTTGCAATAGTGTGTTCGGTTTTTAGCTCTAGCTCGGTCAAAACAAGTCGTACAGCCAAAAGAACAACTGTTTTGTGCTGCTAGCGACCACCACTTACCACCCCTATCACTCGATTTTCGATTTTGGGAAAAACAATTTTCGGCTAAATTTCGCATTTTTGATAAGGGGTACCATCATCAAAATTTTCGAAAAATGGCCGAAAATGAAGTTTTCCAGATTTTAATGAAACTCGATTGGGAATCAAAGCAATCAAATTACAAGCCCTACGAGCTATTACAATCCATATTCTGACCATTTTTGGCTGTGCTATGGCTAAAAAACTGATTTTTTTTGCGCCCAACGTCAAGTATACGTCGTTCGACAGCAGAGAGCCAGGTTTTGTTGCCGTTTGTTAGCTCTAATTTTGTCGCACGGCTAAAACGGTGACTGTTTTTT